TTCTTCCCACAGTTTCATACACGAAGCAACCTTCAGTGTATCTGCTTCTCCCATCGGCAGAAGAATTGTCTGCTCAGCAGTCTCTCACCCTCAGTTGCCTGGTGAAGAACTTCGCTCCCAAAGAGATCTTTGTGGAGTGGACTGTGAATGACCAGTTGATTGATGCCAACAAATACAAGAACACTGAGTTGATGGCAGACAGTGCAGATTACTCCACGTACAGCATGTTATCCATCTCAGCCGGAGATTGGGACAGAGGCTATTCCTACTCCTGTGTGGTCGGACATGAAACTTTCCCACTGAAGACCCTGACCAGAGCCGTTAATAAATCCAGCGGTAAACCGAGTTTTGTAAACATTTCCCTTGTCCTGATGGACACCGTGAATGCCTGTCAATGAGGCTCTCAATACCATTTTGCTTATTTTTTGTGCACCCGCCTCCCGACCATTGCATTGTCAGTTTGGAGTCATGAAAAAGTAACTCAAAGAAAGTAATGGGAATATTCATGTACAGTATTGTTTAACTTGAACAAATATGAAATCCTGGATATTGCCTGTTATTTGGGTTTCAAGTTTCTTTTCCTTTTCTAGATTGTGATCCTCCTGAACCTGTCAAGATCTCTTTCCTGCCGCCTTCACCGAAACAGGTTTTGATGGAACCCATTGTAACGCTGACATGTGTCGTGGCGAATGCACCACATGACGTCAACGTGACTTGGACACAAGAACAGACACATTTACAGTCTGGATATGGGAAACCGTCTGCCACTGGGCCTCAGGAAGTGATCAGTAAACTAAACATTTCTACACAAGACTGGACCGGTGGGAAAGTATACTTCTGCATTGTCAGCCATGACGATATGCCGACTCCCATCAGAAGAAAGATATTTAAGGAGCCCGGTGAGCATCCAAGTTCAGGAAATAAACCATTTATTTGTTTATTGTAATTTCTTTATAGAGGCAACAGATAAAATTCTGAAAACAATTATTAATTGTCTGTCTCTGTTTATAATTCTGTCGATAGTTTTGTCACATCGAACAAATGCCGTAAAATATTTTTAGATATAAGCTGATAAGCAGATACTCTGACATGAATAATATAAAAAATAACTTCATCATTACACCTGAGGATATTTTAACAGGTTTTCGTGGAGTAAAGGAAGCCACATCTAAGCCACTGAGTGCAAATCAAGTTAATCCCAAATTCTGTTGGGAGTTTTCAATCCACTCCAGTGTTCCCAGCCACACCAACAATTATAAACCACTGCGCACAGACTGAGCAGAGACACACTTTACTCTCAGCTTGTTCAGCGGTATCTTGTGCTTGAAGGCTTTCTCTGATTGACGGCATCAGTGTATTGATTTGATTTTATTGTTTCCACAGTTGAGTACATGAAACAACCTTCAGTGTATCTGCTTCTCCCATCGGCAGAAGAATTGTCTGCTCAGCAGTCTCTCACCCTCAGTTGCCTGGTGAAGAACTTCGCTCCCAAAGAGATCTTTGTGGAGTGGACTGTGAATGACCAGTTGATTGATGCCAACAAATACAAGAACACTGAGTTGATGGCAGACAGTGCAGATTACTCCACGTACAGCATGTTATCCATCTCAGCCGGAGATTGGGACAGAGGCTATTCCTACTCCTGTGTGGTCGGACATGAAACTTTCCCACTGAAGACCCTGACCAGAGCCGTTAATAAATCCAGCGGTAAACCGAGTTTTGTAAACATTTCCCTTGTCCTGATGGACACCGTGAATGCCTGTCAATGAGGCTCTCAATACCATTTTGCTTATTTTTTGTGCACCCGCCTCCCGACCATTGCATTGTCAGTTTGGAGTCATGAAAAAGTAACTCAAAGAAAGTAATGGGAATATTCATGTACAGTATTGTTTAACTTGAACAAATATGAAATCCTGGATATTGCCTGTTATTTGGGTTTCAAGTTTCTTTTCCTTTTCTAGATTGTGATCCTCCTGAACCTGTCAAGATCTCTTTCCTGCCGCCTTCACCGAAACAGGTTTTGATGGAACCCATTGTAACGCTGACATGTGTCGTGGCGAATGCACCACATGACGTCAACGTGACTTGGACACAAGAACAGACACATTTACAGTCTGGATATGGGAAACCGTCTGCCACTGGGCCTCAGGAAGTGATCAGTAAACTAAACATTTCTACACAAGACTGGACCAGTGGGAAAGTATACTTCTGCATTGTCAGCCATGACGATATGCCGACTCCCATCAGAAAAAAGATATTTAAGGAGCCCGGTGAGCATCCAAGTTCAGGAAATCAATGATTTATTTGTTTATAGTAATTCCATAATGCAGGCAACCGACACATCTGTGAAAACAATTATAAACTGTCTTAGTTTTACAAGTCTGTCGATAGATTTGTCCCCTCTCACAAAGACCAGAAAATGTATATAGATATAATTTTATAAGCAGATTCTCTCACATGTAAAATATCAAAATATAGTCTAATCATTATACCTGGAGGATATTTAAACAGTTTTCGGGAGAAAAGGAAGCCACATCTAAACCACTGGTCACTGGGTATAAATAATAAAGTGCTGTTGGGAAATTTCAATCCACTCCAGTGTTCCCAGTCATAATAATGACAAACCACTGAGCACAGACTGAACAGACACACATTATTCTCAGCTTGTTCTGCGGTATCTTGTACGTCCCCCGATCTACCCGACCCACCATTGGCGGGAGAGCCTTCAGCCACTCTGCCCCAACCTCTGTAACTCCATCCCCAATCACTCCACGTCGCTCCCTTCTTAGCCTTCTTCAAGTTCCGCCTCAAAACCCTCCTCTTCAGCCATGGCGTTGGTCACCCTCCCTCCCCTCCCCTCTCCCCCCAACCCCAGCTCGGGTCTGAAATGCTGTACACTGTCCAGCACCTTGGGATGTCCTCCCGAAAGGCGCTATACTAATGTAATCGTGTTGCTGTTATACTTGAAAGTTTTCTCTGATTGACGGCATCAGTGTATTGATTTGATTGTGTTCTTCCCACAGTTTCATACACGAAGCAACCTTCAGTGTATCTGCTTCTCCCATCGGCAGAAGAATTGTCTGCTCAGCAGTCTCTCACCCTCAGTTGCCTGGTGAAGAACTTCGCTCCCAAAGAGATCTTTGTGGAGTGGACTGTGAATGACCAGTTGATTGATGCCAACAAATACAAGAACACTGAGTTGATGGCAGACAGTGCAGATTACTCCACGTACAGCATGTTATCCATCTCAGCCGGAGATTGGGACAGAGGCTATTCCTACTCCTGTGTGGTCGGACATGAAACTTTCCCACTGAAGACCCTGACCAGAGCCGTTAATAAATCCAGCGGTAAACCGAGTTTTGTAAACATTTCCCTTGTCCTGATGGACACCGTGAATGCCTGTCAATGAGGCTCTCAATACCATTTTGCTTATTTTTTGTGCACCCGCCTCCCGACCATTGCATTGTCAGTTTGGAGTCATGAAAAAGTAACTCAAAGAAAGTAATGGGAATATTCATGTACAGTATTGTTTAACTTGAACAAATATGAAATCCTGGATATTGCCTGTTATTTGGGTTTCAAGTTTCTTTTCCTTTTCTAGATTGTGATCCTCCTGAACCTGTCAAGATCTCTTTCCTGCCGCCTTCACCGAAACAGGTTTTGATGGAACCCATTGTAACGCTGACATGTGTCGTGGCGAATGCACCACATGACGTCAACGTGACTTGGACACAAGAACAGACACATTTACAGTCTGGATATGGGAAACCGTCTGCCACTGGGCCTCAGGAAGTGATCAGTAAACTAAACATTTCTACACAAGACTGGACCAGTGGGAAAGTATACTTCTGCATTGTCAGCCATGACGATATGCCGACTCCCATCAGAAAAAAGATATTTAAGGAGCCCGGTGAGCATCCAAGTTCAGGAAATCAATGATTTATTTGTTTATAGTAATTCCATAATGCAGGCAACCGACACATCTGTGAAAACAATTATAAACTGTCTTAGTTTTACAAGTCTGTCGATAGATTTGTCCCCTCTCACAAAGACCAGAAAATGTATATAGATATAATTTTATAAGCAGATTCTCTCACATGTAAAATATCAAAATATAGTCTAATCATTATACCTGGAGGATATTTAAACAGTTTTCGGGGAGAAAAGGAAGCCACATCTAAACCACTGGTCACTGGGTATAAATAATAAAGTGCTGTTGGGAAAAGGTTGTTTCGTGTATGAAACTGTGGGAAGAACACAATCAAATCAATACACTGATGCCGTCAATCAGAGAAAACTTTCAAGTATAACAGCAACACGATTACATTAGTATAGCGCCTTTCGGGAGGACATCCCAAGGTGCTGGACAGTGTACAGCATTTCAGACCCGAGCTGGGGTTGGGGGGAGAGGGGAGGGGAGGGAGGGTGACCAACGCCATGGTTGAAGAGGAGGGTTTTGAGGCGGAACTTGAAGAAGGCTAAGAAGGGAGAGACGTGGAGTGATTGGGGGATGGAGTTACAGAGGTTGGGGGCAGAGTGGCTGAAGGCTCTCCCGCCAATGGTGGGTCGGGTAGATCGGGGGACGTACAAGATATCGCAGAACAAGCTGAGAATAACGTGTGTCTGTTCAGTCTGTGCTCAGTGGTTTGTCATTATTATGACTGGGAACACTGGAGTGGATTGAGTTTTCCCAACAGCACTTTATTATATATACCCAGTGACCAGTGATTTAGATGTGGCTTCCTTTTCTCCCCGAAAACTGTTTAAATATCCTCCAGGTATAATGATTAGACTATATTTTGATATTTTACATGTGAGAGAATCTGCTTATAAAATTATATCTATATATATATTCTGGTCTTTGTGAGAGGGGAAAAATCTATCGACAGACTTGTAAAACTAAGACAGTTTATAATTGTGTTCACAGATGTGTCGGTTGCCTGCATTATGGAATTACTATAAACAAATAAATCATTGATTTCCTGAACTTGGATGCTCACCGGGCTCCTTAAATATCTTTTTTCTGATGGGAGTCGGCATATCGTCATGGCTGACAATGCAGAAGTATACTTTCCCACTGGTCCAGTCTTGTGTAGAAATGTTTAGTTTACTGATCACTTCCTGAGGCCCAGTGGCAGACGGTTTCCCATACCCAGACTGTAAATGTGTCTGTTCTTGTGTCCAAGTCACGTTGACGTCATGTGGTGCATTCGCCACGACACATGTCAGCGTTGCAATGGGTTCCATCAAAACCTGTTTCGGTGAAGGCGGCAGGAAAGAGATCTTGACAGGTTCAGGAGAATCACAATCTAGAAAAGGAAAAGAAACTTGAAACCCAAATAACAGGCAATATCCAGGATTTCATATTTGTTCAGGTTAAACAATACTGTACATGAATATTCCCATTACTTTCTTTGAGTTACTTTTTCATGACTCCAAACTGACAATGCAATGGTCGGGAGGCGGGTGCACAAAAAATAAGCAAAATGGTATTGAGAGCCTCATTGACAGGCATTCACGGTGTCCATCAGGACAAGGGAAATGTTTACAAAACTCGGTTTACCGCCGGATTTATTAACGGCTCTGGTCAGGGTCTTCAGTGGGAAAGTTTCATGTCCGACCACACAGGAGTAGGAATAGCCTCTATCCCAATCTCCGGCTGAGATGGATAACATGCTGTACGTGGAGTAATCTGCACTGTCTGCCATCAACTCAGTGTTCTTGTATTTGTTGGCATCAATCAACTGGTCATTCACAGTCCACTCCACAAAGATCTCTTTGGGAGCGAAGTTCTTCACCAGGCAACTGAGGGTGAGAGACTGCTGAGCAGACAATTCTTCTGCCGATGGGAGAAGCAGATACACTGAAGGTTGCTTCGTGTATGAAACTGTGGGAAGAACACAATCAAATCAAAACACTGATGCCGTCAATCAGAGAAAGCCTTCAAGTACAAAATACCGCAGAACAAGCTGAGAGTAAAGTGTGTGTCTGTTCAGTCTGTGCTCAGTGGTTTGCGATTATTATGACTGGGAACACTGAAGTGGATTGAAGTTTCCCAACAGCACTTTATTATTTATACCCAGTGACCAGTGGTTTAGATGTGGCTTCCTTTTCTCAACGAAAACCTGTTTAAATATCCCCGAGGTATACTGATTTGATTATTTTTGATACAATTAATGTGAGAGAATCTGCTTATAAAATTATATCTATATATACTTTCTAGCCTTTGTTAGAGGGGACAAATCCATCGACAGAATTCAAAACAGACAGACAGTTTATAATTGTTTCCACAGATTTATCTGTTGCCTATATTATGGAATAACTATAAAGAAATAAATAATTTATTTCCTGAACTTGGATGCTCACCTGGATCCTTAAATATCTTTTTTCTGATGGGAGTCGGTATATCGTCATGGCTGACAATGCAGAAGTATACTTTCCCACCGGTCCAGTCTTGTGTAGAAATGTTTAGTTTACTGATCACTTCCTGAGGCCCAGTGGCAGACGGTTTCCCATATCCAGACTGTAAATGTGTCTGTTCTTGTGTCCAAGTCACGCTGACGTCATGTGGTGCATTCGCCTCGACACATGTCAGCGTTACAATGGGTTCCATCAAAACCTGTTTCGGTGAAGGCGGCAGGAAAGAGACCTTGACAGGTTCAGGAGTTTCACAACCTGGAAAAGGAAAGGAAACTTGAAACACAAATAACAGCCGATATCCAGGATTTCATATCAAAGTAAAAAATACTGTACATGAACATTCCCACATTCTTTAGTTGAGTTACTTTTTCATGACTCAAAACTGACAATGCATTAGTAGGGCGGCGGTTGCACAAAAAGTAAGGAAAGTGGTATTGAGAAGCCAGATCTCCCCTTGAGCAGCAGATCAGAAACAGAGCCACACAGTGCGGCTGCCTGGCCATCTCCTGATAACACAGTGAGGATCGGGTCCCGATTTCCTCATGTTGTACACATCCATCAACTTTGGTTCAAGGCTCACATGTGCATTGATCCCAATGAAATATACAAAAGGAGTTCAACCCAAAGTGACCCAGAGCTCCCACAAGTGGACATTTGCAAGGAAACTGAGAGCCCTGTTGTTGGCGTGTGTATCAGCTGGTGCTGTACCTCCTACCTTGGCAATTGGTGATGTTCTTGACAGTGATGGTGTGGGTGGGCTGATGGGTCACCTTGCAGGTGTAAACCGAGTCTCTCTTCCCCTCTCTGGCGGTGCCAGTCAGACGGCTGCTGGTGCTGAATGTCCCATTGTTTTCAACCGAGGGAGAGGTCACAACACCTGAGTGTATGGGCTGCCAGTCCTTCAGCCACTCAACCCTGAGACTGTCCGGACGGAAACCGTATACGAAGCAGATAGCAGTGGTCGGTTTGCGCATTGCAATGTCCTCCGGGGAAAACTGTGTGATGATAACAACTGGGGGCAACGGTTTCTGGGGAACTGCAAGACATTTAATAACAAGTTATGTTTTGTTTGAGGGAAATATTTGTTGTTGTGAAATTGATATTCATATTGAAATAGACATTGACCTCAGCCACGGGGTGGATACTCCTCTCTCATTGACTTATCTCTTTCAATCTTTCCACTAAAGACTCCATTTAGAGAGAGAATCATTGCAATCTCCTCAATCATTACATCTGATATATTGCACTCGACTCTAAAGTGGGCTTAGCGTTGAAAACTCTTCTGTTCTTCCCTGCCATGTTGCCTATCATTGAGGATTGCCCAATCCTTGCTCTCCAAAGCTCGCTCGCTCTCCTTCTCAGAGTCCCACCTTCCCTCTCTCTAGTTTGTGTTGTATCTGTTTCCTGTCAGGCTGCTCCCCTATCTTCCCTGGTGCACCTGAACTGGTTGGAGTCCTATCTATCTGTTCATTTGTGCCCATTATCTCCGGGTAACGCAGCACTTGGGAAAAGAGGGTAACATCATCAGGACATTGCAGATTCTCTGTGATGGGAGTGTTCACATAACACCTACAATGTTGAGTGTTCTTCCCTGAATGATATGGGAGCAACATGTTTGATTGTCCTGTACGTTGGCGAACAACACTGACCTGGCATGGGGATCTCCACGGGTGGCCATGTGTTGCTTTTATGTGCAACCTTACAATGGATGTTGTCCAGCTGGGATTCAGCGATTGTTAACTGGCTGCTCAGAGTGTAGAGACCATTCTTGTTGAGCACTGAGGGATACGTCTTGACTTGGTCAGTGATGAGATGTTCATTTGATGTCCAGGTGAAGATGGCGGGATCGGGGCTGTAGCTGGAGGCCAGACACCCAACAGTCACTGAGCCTCCAGAAGAGGATTGTCCACAGTATGGCAGCAGGGCGTAAAGACTGGGAGGGGTAGTTACAGCTGGAAACCAAGAGGAAAGTTAGATTTGAGATACTACTCTTCTACAANTTTTTCAGACACAGATAAACTGAAGCAAAACTGTTACCCAAGTCAAAGTATGCATGTATATGTGCGGTGTGTGTGTGCCGGTGTGTATGTATCTTTGTATGCACGCATGTAGGTATGTATTTATGCACTCGCCTTACAAGCGAGAAACCTGGGTTTGATTTCCATCAGAGTGAAACCCTGGGGAAGTTTCCTTACTCCACACGCCTGATTCTAATGCCTCAAGAAAAAAAATAAAACAATAAAATTGGCTGCTTCAATTTTGACTGTTTGTGGTAAACTGCTGTGCGCATTTGGCTGCCACGTTTAACCCACAAATATACAGCAATTTACTATACAATATACTGTGAAGCGCTTTGAGACGTCTCAAAGATATGAAAAGCACTCTATCAAATGCATTATTATTGTTATGTATCTATGTATGTATATGTGTGTGTGTGTATGTGCATGTATGAATGTGTGTGTGTGGTGTGTGTATGTACGTATTGATATGTTAAACCAAGTTGCTATTTAAGGATCCCATGGCAGTATTCAAAAACAGAAGTGAGTCTCTATCTCTCTCTCGTTGTCCTGGTCAACAACCATCTAAACAAAAATTGGCCAATCTCTCTACGCCTATTTGTGAGACATTGTTGAACTCAACTGGGCTTCTGCATTTAGCCCATGAAATACAGTCAATTCACTTTACATTATATCTTGTGATGCGCTTTGAGACATCTCACGGACATGATAGGCACCATACCTTGAGCAATAATTATTTTGTTATCGTGAATGACTGTGTGCATGCCTGTGTATGTATGCTGGCTGGGTTTTCACAGAAGATATTTAAAGAGAAATATATTCTTAATGTGTTTGTAATTTTTGTCATTACTTTTATACAAGAGAAACTATTTTTTTGTGTTGGCCCAACTGATCATCCACTTGATGATCTTCAGGAGGGCGGCGTTTCTCCAGCAGAGCAAAGCTAATGTTAAAGACACCCGGTCATGGTGCAGAACAAAATAACTGTGTAAATGCCATCAGAGTCATGATCCTCTTAGTGTTTGAGAGGAGATCTGTGCACTGTGAGGAAGTGCGGTCATGTTCATTCAATTGCTGTTAAGATTAATTGAAATCATGTCTGAGCTCTAACTCTCGCCCACTAAACCATGATTGGTGTGAGGAGCAGCTGAGGCAATGAGACTGTGAGCAGCACATTAATGCTGATATTAATTAAAATAAAAACCTTCACTATTATTGCTGTAACATCCGTGCAGATTGAGCTGCTATGTTTACAATCACATCCCAGCAGTATAAACCCGCTTTACTCTCAGACTCACCCCCTCCCCCAGATTGAGACACTTTAAACTGCAGCCGCGGTCCTTATGTTAAATAAAGGATTGAAATACACATTGGAATCGATCAGATAACCTTCCCATCGCTCATCCAACAACAATCCGGCCCTGATTCCCAACATAGTTTATAAACACTTTTATACAATTCCTGAAAACTACCAACCTCCAGTCACCGCGATCAGACACTGCACAAAGTCCATCAGTGTAACCTCAGCTGTACATTCACTGACCACCAAAAATATCACCAACAATGAATAATCCATAAATCAACAGTGGCTGTTGAAAGCGATATCAGGGAAACCCCTTTAACATGCATTAAACTCCGAGATAGCCTGGCAACGCGGAATTCATTACATTAAGTAGTTGTTAAAGTGAATCAAACAAACATATAAAACAATGTCAGCATTGTGAGTGAATAACTGTCCTTTAAATGTTTGTGTCTTTGCCAGTTTGCTGTGTTCATGTCAAACACCTTTTCTTGTACCAACAGATTGAAGAATAAATGTTTTATGTCTATTAAAATCTGGTAAAATCCTCAGTGGAAGGCGGCATTTTAAACATACCAAATCCCTGCACATTAAGTGGCCACACAAGCGAACAGTGAGAGACATGAGATGGTTTGTTGTTGAAGGGTTTTTGTATTGACAGTTAATGCTGTGGTTCCAGTATCACAGTGATACACACTGTGACACAAACTCCTGCACAGGATAAACTAACAAATATTGACTGGAATATCAGACACTGACTGGACCTCGGCTCAGATTCACCATTGAGGCTTCATGTGATGTTTCACTCAGAATAAATCCTTATGTTTATTAGAGACTTTGGATTAATGTTAAAGCAGCTCCACAGACGTCAGTCTTGTTTAATACCGTCCTGTAATATAAATCATTCTGAATTAATCTGTTAAATACCAGGTCCTTTATGAGAAGGATCTACTCTCTGTAACATTTATTTGGATGCTGTGGATGTTTCAGTGATGACAGGGGTGAGCAGCCTCTCTGGCTCGGGTTTTTGTATGAGGAGATGGCTGTGTGCAGCATTGTGACCCCCTGTATACACAGTGACATAGTCCCATACAAATACTGCCCTCAATGTCTGCTCAATACTGACTGCCATAATTCACTGAAATGGCCCATTCCCCTGTGACATGACATCGAGTCTATCTAATACTTCCTTCGTAGCCACAGAAACAGAAAACAAATTTCTCCAACAGCTCAGTTTCTAACAAGAGGATATCTGTGAACCGTCACATCGCCAGTCTCCTATCGCAGTCCTTCCCGCCTGAAACAGCACAGTGTCACTTACCAACTGAAAGCCCAGAATATTACAGCACCAATAAGCAGGTCATTCGCCCCATCAAACCACGACTCACTGTGTAGGTTTAACATGAGAAGAAGTCCATTTGAAGCTTTTCCTTTAATCTTCGCTCGAGACACAGCATTGACACCATGACTGTCAGGCAGTTTAGGGTGGGAGGGGCTGCCTTTCCTCCCCTTGTGTATTTGTAGGAGTTCAGCCCCGTTTCCTCTCACTGTGACCCTCTCGCACAGTAATAGATGGCGGTGTCGTCCACTTTTGATGAACAAGTCAAAGATGTTATTGGAATTCTCTTTGATGACAGTGACACGGTCTTCAATCCCAGGCGCAAATGCATTGCTGGATGAGTTGTAATACATGAGGAGCCATTCCATCCCCTTCCCCGGAACCTGCCGTACCCAGCTCATGGCATACCTGCTGAGATCAATCCCGCTGGTTTTACTGGTCAGTCTCAGGGGTGGCCAGGTTTCCAGTTTGAGACGGCGGCTGTGTCAGCACCACATCGGCCTGGACACCTGTAAAGAATAAATGAGAGAAGATTAATGACTGTGTGACATTGCAGAGAGAATAACACCGACACAGGAAGAGTGAGACTGTCAGAATAATAGCACTCACGGGAGAAGACAGCCAGCAGCAGACTGAGAGAAATCAGGGACCTCATGTTTCTGGGCACTTGTCAGAACTGAGACTGGAGCCGAATAACCGAGGGCCAAAGAGCTGCCGTACAGATGGCCTCAGTCCCCAGTGACCGCTATATAACGGGGCAGTGGGGCAGGGGGTGGAGAACCCACCAATAGCTGTAGGACTGAGGGGAGTCACGTGTGACATTCCCTCTGACCTGCACAGAGCAATAACTGTACCTTTACATTCTGCCTTTACAGCAAATTAATATTAATATAAGTCTCAATAGTATTAGCCCTCTCGCTGACCCTCAAGCTTCGCAAATTCCTTTCTTCAACTTATGTGTGTGTGTGTTTGCAGTGTGTGTGGAGGAGGCGGTAAATGCAAAACAAATCTGCTGGAACATTATTTCAGTTAAAGGGGGGGGAGATGATGGAAGGAGAAAGTGTTGATTCTTGTAAAAATAAATGAGATATGTTACTTTTTAGAAATAATGTTGTGTGACACAGTACATTGTTTAGGACATAACATATGCATGCGACTGCCAGGATAGTGGAAGGTGAACCAGATGGACCTTGGTATTCTTTCATCGAGCAATTCTGATTTTCTTATCTTCTTATAATAATTATTATAATATTTCTTGCATTTCACATAATGCCTTACTACATTATTGAAACTCCTCAAGCACTTTAATGCTTGGTAACTGTATTAAGTGGGCAAAAATTTATATTGTGCCTTAATTAAAATATTATTTCCTGTGGTTTAGCAATGTTCTGGTCTCCCACCAGATTGTCTGCTGATTTTTGTATTCCAATCTTGAATTCATGTCCCAAATGGGCATCAAGACATAATAATAATAGTAATAATCCTTGCATTTGATATAGGACCTTTTCACATCTTCTACGCGTCTCAAAGGGCTTCATATAATATATGGCTCATGATTTCAAATCATGTAATAATAATAATAATAATAATAATCCTTGCATTTGATATAGCGCTTTTCACGTCGGGAGGACGTCCCAAAGCGCTTCACAGAACACACTGTAAAGTGAATTGACTGTATATTTGTGGGCGAACGGGGCAGCCAATTGCGCACAGCAATGTCCCACAAACAGTCGTAGATTGAAAATGACCAATTTATTATTGTTTTTGTTTTTTGGAGGGATTATTATTAGGCGTGTGGAGTAAGGAAACTTGCCCAAGGTTTCGCCCTGTATCTTCATGTCCTGGATTATTCAATATCAGTTCTTTCCTCTTCCCAACGTCCCAAATAACTGTGTCTATGGCCTCATTAGGCTGTTCATTCCTTATGTTCATACAGTCTCAATGTGAAAACCGCACCAAGTGTTGGAGAGTATCTGAACAGTGGACAGTTAATATTGTGCAGTGCATCGCTGGTGTAATGTGGCACAGATATACAGCCTAATCACCCAGAGAATAATATGCTGTGCCTCTTACACTCAGCTTGTGATATCACTGCTTATTGCCCGGTTGCCTTTGTCAACCCATTTTCTGCATCGTTTGTCGTATTCTTACATACACAATAATTAAGAGGCGCTGACTTTACTCAGCAAACAATAGAAATGATGGAGAGTTCTCTGTTTTAAATATTTCTATATTGTTTGGGGTCGACTCTCTTCCCCCTCCTCGCTCCCTTCCCTCCCCTCAACCTAACTATTTCCCCCCTCCTCGCTCCCTCCCTTCCCTCCCCTCACCCTGACCATTTCCCCCCAATGCTTGGTTCATGACACAACTGTGCAGCGCCTTGGGACGTCCTCCTGACGTGAAAGGCGCTTTATAAATGGAATCTTGTTCTTGTTGTTTTTGTTATTTGCTATTCAAGACTTCGAATTCACAGGAAATGATTATTTGTGGATGTGATGGAACAGTTCATGTTGCAGAACAGCTCATGAGCAAATTGCTAAACAAGTTACTGCTTTTTATATCTAAAGTCTTCTTACTTGAAAGACGCTTCACACAGAATGATTCACACCGCCTTCAGGTGGGGCAGAAACTCAGAGCACAACTGTGATTGTGTGCAGTCAGTCAGTGAGCAGCTTCCTGCTCTCACACCGTGGGGCCCACAGCCGGACCTTTCATACATTATTCCCCTTCACACCAACAGCAGCGGTTGGGTCACCTCAAGTGGCTGTGATTGGTAAATCAGAGATGGCAGAATATAGAGTCATATTAATACATAAAACTCGTTCTATTTGGCAGTTTCATATCTGGAGAACATTTCTAAACACTTCGGATACTTCACTTTGAAATGCAGTGAAGTCTCTGTCAAGTAACTTCTTTCAAGCACTTTCCTCACTTCCCTTTGCGATTTCCTTCATCCACAGTGACGCTGCTCCCTTTGCTCAGTGACAATCGGCTGTTTCATATCCCACTGCTCTATCTGCCTCACCATTACCATTAAACTCTTGGAACTCACAGGCCTTTCGTGGTTTGTTTACTACTTCATTGAATAACGAGCTGTACCCGTTGCAGCTTCACTTGCAACCAAAGGATCCAATATGGAATGTAGATTGACCCACAGACAGACATTTCATCTTCATCTCTACTCATCTAGGAGGACTCCTGTGGGAGGACACCATTTGGGAGGACTGAGTGGGAGGACTCGGTGCTATAAAAATGTAATGTTGTTGCTGTTAATTACCTTTCTCTTTGTCTTTATTTTGTTCGCGCCGTTTGGCTCCGTACTTGATCTGTGGCGCAGAATGGCACAGCGCCACGGTCAGCCGGCGTGGCCACCAGGTGTAACTGCAGTGTGTTCGGTGGTGCTCTGTGACGCACGATCCCACGGCGCCACTTTGACTCGGTGGCCACGAGGTGTAACTACAGCAAAAAACACCACCAAACCGTCAATAACCCATTGTAATGTACCGCCTCTTCACTGTGGACCGGAGTCAGGACAGCGCGGGGCTGAGCCGAGGCCTAGTGGGGCAGCGGGTGTGAAGCCCAGAGAGGAGCCTCTCGCTGGGGGAGCGGAGTCAGGACAGCGCGGGGCTGAGCCGAGGCCTAGTGGGGCAGCGGGTGTGAAGCCCAGAGAGGAGCCTCTCGCTGGGGGAGCGGAGTCAGGACAGCGCGGGGCTGAGCCGAGGCCTAGTAGGGCAGCGGGTGTGAAGCCCAGAGAGGAGCCACTCACTCGGGGAGCGGAGTCAGGACAGCGCGGGGCTGAGCCGAGGCCTAGTGGGGCAGCGGGTGTGAAGCCCAGAGAGGAGCTACTCACTCGGGGAGCGGAGTCAGGAGACAT